TTGTTTTTTGGCAATTTTACCAAAGTCTGTTGACATGTACTTACTCACACATATGCTTTGATGCTTGTTTTTTTTCCTAGTGGGGCTCCAAATTGTGTCAATCATATACCATGCAAACAGTATTTTCTGATGTCTTTAAAAAATGTGAGTACTGGTTGAATCATCTCCCACCCTCACTGCATATTTAATTTTTTTCCTGAATAAACTCCCTTATGAATGTTCAGTGCTTTTCTCTGAATTAACCCTTTCCCACACTAATGGCGTGTATCCCTTTTCTGGATGCTCTGAAGACTCGCAAGATAAGCTTTTTGATGGAATCTTTTACTAAATGGATCACATTTATGAGGTTTTTCCCTTTTGTGGATTTTTCATGCATGTAAAAACTTTATTATCCTCAAATGCCACAATCACCCTGTGGGGATTGTGAGTGGACCCATCAGGCACTCAATTTTGCCAACTTGATGTATATGGGAGACACCCACCTTCTCAGGCTGCCTTCAGTCTCAAACACTTTCATGATTTTCAAATCTAAGTTTGCCTTAGGCCCCAGACATCCTAAGCCCTCTGGTGAGATGTGCTTTGAATATCCCAAATGCATCCTTAATATACCCTGCAATCCTCACCTGAAAACTGCCAGCACTCTCTCCTCTTCCATACAGACGTATTAAACTAACCACTCTCTCTGCTTTCATATATTCATCACAAATACCCAAGGGCCACCTTCCTGAAACACCTATTCCAGCTATAACCAGCATCAGGAAGATGACCTTTTGTTGCCTATGTACTAGAGAGGTTTAGGGGAAGGGGAAGCAGTTAATTCACATCTAAAGGCCATTGTGAGTTTTCTTCCCCTAAGCACACAGCTTCTACTTTTTCTAAGCTTCGCTTCTTCAGTGGAACCATTAGGTCCTTATCCAGGTAGACTAGGGGACACAGCAGGAAGCTCTAGCCCTAAGGGTCAATAGGAAACTATACAGCTGCTGCAGAAGATTTACCTGCCTATCCCCGAGTCTTGGGAAGCCCAGAATGGGAACCCACCAACTAGGTTCTCAAAGGGTAGCGATAAAAGCCTTGAGTATCCAACAGCCTATAAACTTTTGAACAAATGATAAGGTACAATGGAGTATTCAAACTAAAGAAAATCTTTTTAACTATGCTCTAGAGCCTGGACAAAATTCCTTTGGTTTCCAATCTCTGTCATTCTTAATAAAAGATATGAAAGTAAAAATGGCTTATAATATCAACCCCAGGCAATTAATCTATAGCCACTGGCTTGCTTTTCTGTTATGATTTATACTGTCACTTGATAGCACATAATGCAATTCTCACTGAAGGCCAAGGTCTAGTGATTTATGTGAGAAGAGTCTAGCAAAAGAACAATTTATGATCTCAATGAACTCTAGCTCTCCTTGACAGGCAGACATTTGCCTTTAATAAAAGCCCCTACTTGATGGGGCCAAAAAACACAACAGAAGATAGATATTAAATGAAAACAAAACTAGGCTTTCAGAAAGCTAAGCTGAGCATCATGAGCTATAGTCTTATTATCTTATATACACTATCTTATTTGATCCTCACAAGAATGCTGTGAAGTAATTACTAAGTGCATCATTCCATTATAGCTGAAGAAACTAAGTCTGAGGAAAGTTCAGTGACTCAGCTAGCTGAAAGTCACACAGAAAGTAAACATCTGAGGCAAGACTTGAAGGCAGGCTTTCTTGACCCTAAGACTGGCACTCTACCCATTGTGCTACAATCAGGGTAAAAGAAAGAGTGAACAATAGGACCAAATACTCTTCTCTAACTTTTCTTTTGTAAGTAGCTCCTCTGCTAAAGAGATGGGGACTAGAGTAGAGTAGAGTTTGGAAATGAACTTTGTATCCTATTTTTTTCAAGGTGAAAAATTTTTTTTCAACCATGTTGAATCTTTCACTTTTGAAACTGAGTTGGATTTCTGTATATCCCAGGCAGGGGAAGTTGTAGTTTATTTAAAGTGATTAAGCCAAGAAAGTTAAATTCATTACACTGTAGTTTTAAAATCTGTTAATAAGCAATGCTCACAGATTAAGTGATTTCATTTTATGAGTAATGCCACGAATCTTGAAGACTAAGATGCTGTGTGTGGTCTTTTCATAGGCGTCTTGGTTAATTGTTGCTAGAGGAGCAGAAGTTACTGATAGAAGCAGTGATTTAGCCAAATGGTTTAACAATTGAGATGGAAGTTATAGAACATTCTTCAAATTCCAGCTTTTATTGCTATGTCTAGAACTGGGCAGAAATCAAGATAGGAGAGGGGGCCAGGACTATGGTCAGAAATTTGGTTAAACAAGAAAGGGTCTGGCTTCAGGCACCATAAGTTGGGAATGTTCAGCAACCAAGACCTAGAAACTCAGTAAAAGTGAGGAAGAAGAAACATATAGGTATTTTAGCTTGAAGTAGACAAGACATTTAGGATGGAAGAGTTCAGGTAGCAGGGATTAGGAAGCCAGGCTTGCAAGACTGAGGAAGAGAGGAACAAGGATCCCAGTAAAAGGTCTAAGAAATGAGCACTTATAGATTCACAGTATGCAGTAAGGAATTACAGGAGTGTCGGGGCAGCTAGGTGTCACAGTGGATAGAGCACTGGCCTTAGATTCAGGAAAAACTGAGTTCAAATCTGGCCTCTAACACTTGACACTTACTAGCTATGTGACCCTGGGCAAGTCACTTAATACCATTGCCTAGCAAAGAACAAAAACAAACATACAGGAGCATAACACTTGGCAAGGTTTGTAATAAGCACAGGGCACCATCAGGAGTAATAAAGCTTGATCTCTATACGTCAAAATCTTCTGATAAAAGGGTTCTGTATATATTTACTAAGCAGATTCCAAAATAGTCTCAGACTGGTAACAGGCAGAAGTAAAGGCATCTATCTGGAGTGTATACTTTCCTCTTGATTTTTATCACACTACTTTCTCCAGGTTTGTCTCCTACTTGTATGACTGCTCCTTTTCAGTCTTCTTTTCTGTTTCATCATCCATATCATCTCCCCCCCTTACTGTAGGGCTCCTCCCAGGCTTTGTCCTTGCCTCTCTTCTCTTTTCTGCCCTCTCACTTGATTAGTTCATCAGCTCCCCTGCACTCACTTTATCATCTTTGGACTTACAAACCTATACAACCAGCCCCAAGCTCTCTCCTGAGCTCCAGCCTTATATCACCAACCAGCGACAGGGTATTTAAACTGGGTATACCACAAACATCTCAGACTCAATGTGTCCAAAGAATAATTCATTTGTATTTCCCCCTTAAATCCATTCTTCTTTTGAACTTTTCTATTTCTGAGGAGGATACTACAATCTTTCCAGATAGACAAATGAAGATTATAAAATAATGGAATTAGGTGAATTCACAATTGGTCAAACAACCTCCAAAATGGTAAGAATTAGATCAATGTCAAACAGGATGGAAGTGTCTAATAAAATGTTACAGGGTCAGTCCCTGGCTTTATTTGGATCATAGGATTTTAGATCTAGAGCTAGAAGGGACCTCAGAAGCAATCTAATTCAATAAGGACCTGAGACCCAGAGATGTTAAGTGGCATTCCCTGGGTCACACAGTCAGTGGGTCTTCTGATTCCAAATCCAGTAGTTAAAAATTTTGTTTTGATGACTTATGTAATGGCACAGATAGAGAGATTAATATTTTGGGAGGATATCATAAAGGCAAGATATATGGCTAATACACTATATGAAAGAATTTTGATCCCCCAAAACCCTCATAGGCCACAACACTGAGATAGTGAAATGGAGGTTGCTAGAAAAAAAAAAGGAAAATTCACATACTCTCAGAGTTAGAATGTAGTTCAGAGGCAACCCAGTCTGATTTACAGCTAACCAAACAGTCTTTGTAAATTTCACCCTCTGCTTCTTATTTGACCCTTTTGGCAAGCAGGGCAAGCCTAATCCCCATCCCAAATTCTACATTTGTGTTCAAAAAACAAACAGCATGAATACAGGATGGGAGAGGCACGAGTAGACAATAAGTCATGTGAAAAAGGGCTGGGCATTTTTTTGGGAAGATTATGTAAGGTTAACATGAGGCAACACTACAATATGGCAGCCAAAACTGCTAATCCAATCTCACATTTTAAGAAGAAAACCAGTAAGTGCAGGAATATCTAGTGGTGGTGATAAAGATGGTTAGAGGAAGGAAAGAGGGCTTTAAGAGCCTGAAGAGAATACTTAGGGGACATGACGGGATATCTATCTTCACATATTGGAAGGGTCATTTGAAAGAGGAATTAGAAGTCTTCCCTCCCACCTTTTTTTTGGGGAGGAAATCAAAGTTAAGTGACTTGCCCAGGTTCACATGGCTAGCAAGTATCTGAGGCCAGATTTGAAATCCTGACTCCAGGGCTGGTGTTCTATCTACTGCACCACCTAGCTGCCCCAACTTTTTAACTTGATCCTGGAGAACAGGATTAGGAACAATAGGTGGAAATTACTAATAGATATATTTTGGCATGCTATAAAGAACCTCATAACAATGAGAAGTATAAAAAATGGAATGAGTTGCCCTGGGAGTTAATGAATTGCACATCACTCAAAGTATTCCAGTTGGTACTGGGTGACCACTTTTCTGGGCTATTATAATTCCCACTCCAGTATAATTTGGACCTCTAATGTCCCTTCCAACTCTGAGATCCTGTCACTCTATGATTCCATGCCCCAGCACAGGACATAGAATAGAGAGATGTGCGTTAAAGGGAAAGGTGTCAGCATCTGGTGGCAAAAAAAGAAAGAAAGGAAGACATCTGTTGCTAAGACAACCTATTGAAACAGTAGGGTAGAGGGTAGAGAAGCCTCTTGGCAACAGCACTGAGGTTTTCATGATTCAGATCTTAACAAAACCCACAGATTAGTTGTGTTAATGATGGTAAAATAAAACCCACAGACAGAAAATCCCCACCCCATTTTCACTTATAATTATTATCTCTCATCTTTCTCTCAGGGAAACTTAAAAAAAAAACAAATGAAGTCTAGGATGTGAATGCCATTTCAATTCCTTCTCCCTGATCATCCTCTAGCAATGTCAACAAGGAGGGAAGAAGCCAAAAGACGGACAACAGCAGGACAGAGATGGAGAAAAAGTCTGCCCAGTAGACAATGAGATGACCCCTGAATGGAGAAGAATTGATTGGAATGTCATTTTATGTGAAGAGAGTCCTTTTCTCTGAGGAGAGCAACCACTTTATATTCTCATTTAATCCCTCAAGGTAGGTTCAGGTCCAATTACTATTTGACAAGATACAGGGGTTTATGGAATCCTCCTGAAGGTTTCTTGGCTTATGAAGGGAACCCCCCCCCCCCAAATTCCAATTAACTGTGCTTCATCGGATATGACTTCCTATTACTTTGGCTCTACATTGAATCCTAATTTATTTCATCAGTATAATAACCTCCCTTAAAAATTATTCTGAACCTAACAAATGAGCATTTTCACATATAAAGTAAAATGCAAAAAAAAAAGATTGTATTTGTAAGTTTCTATTCCCTACCTCTTGCTCTCAATTGAAAGTATATAATAAATCATTTCCAAAACTTTACTGCTTCTCTGTGATCTCTTTTGAACTACCTTCCATACTCCTTTGTGAGCTTTTATAAAGTGTTTCAATGCCCTCTTTCTTTCTTTTTGTATCACTTTTGATATTCCCCTTCCTCACCTGCATTCCCAAATGAACGGTGGAAAAAATCACCTTGTAAAGAATAAACAGTCAAGCAAAACAAATCCACATGGCAGTTATGTCCAAAAATGGATGTCTCCTCTCAGACCTCGAATCCATCACCTCTCTGACAGGAGGCAGGTAACATGCTACATCATAGATCCTCTGGAGAAATGGCTGGTCATTGCTTTGAGAAAAGTTCTTAAGTCTTTCAAGGTTGTTTTTCATTACAATTCTATGGTCATTGTACACAGTGTTCTCCTCAATCTTCTTACTTGATTCTGCATCAGTTCATGCTTCTAAGGAGTCTATGAAATAGTCCTGTCATTTCTTACAACTCAATAATATACTTTTATATTCACATATCACAATTTATCCAACCATTCCCTAGTTGATCAGAATCCTTTTAGTTTCCAGTTCTTGATTTTTCTTTTTTCTTTTAATCTCCTCTTTGAGATCAGGGTGCTTGTTTCACTTGGAACTATTCCTTCCATAGTGTTATCCTGCCTCTTAACCAACTATCTCCCTATCCTTGGTTATTTTCCAATTGCATTTGCTGTATTTTTACACCACACTCTGTGTGTGTTCAACTCTTCTTTGTAGATTTTGGATAGAGTGAGGTTTTGTCAGATGCTTTGTCCCTGCCCCCCACTCTTTTTTGTGTTCAAACAACATCTCACATAGTCCAACTATGAGAAATTGCAAATTGTACCTACTTCTTCCCTTCTTTCTACACTAGCGTATTCTTTTTGCTATCTCTTTTCTTTCTCCTCTTAAAGTCCTCAAAACAGAACCCTGTGCTCTGTTTTTCTTATTTAACACCCTCAATACCTTTTGAAGACATTGAAGTTCTAAAGTGACACTGTTTCTTCCATTAGGATGTTAGCCCTTTATCATTATACAGACCTTTTGAATTGATCAAATACAATTACTTTTATAAGTTTCTCTTGTGTTTTGTTGTTTTGTTTTGGGTTTTTTTTGTTTTTGCTTTTTAGGCAATTGGGGTTAAGTGACTTGCCTAGGGTTCTCTTGTGTTTTTGAGCTTGTATTTCAATAATCCTATTCAGCATTGGAGTTTTTTCCATCAGAAATTCTTTAAAGTGCTCTATTCCATTTCAATTCCATTTTTTCCCTGTAGGATTTTGCTCAGCTTTTCAGGATTAAATTATTCTTAGTTCTAAGCCATTATAATTTTTTTTCCTACTGGAATATTTTATTTCAAGCTCTTTATTATAGTAGAGGCTGCTGGGTTGTGTGTGATCCTGACTATGGTTCTTTGGTGTTAGAGCTTATTCTTTCTGGCTGCTTGATATAATTTTCTTTGTGAAATTTTTTTATTTTGACTATTACATTTCTGAGATTTTTATCTTTTGTGGTTTCTTTTAGGACATAGTGGGTGTATTCTTTCTGTTTTTCATTTTACTCTCTGGTTCTAACAGGTTTGGAAAATTTTCATTTATGATTTTTTGAAATTCAGTGTCTAGGCCATTTTAAAAATTGTGGTTTTCAAGGAATTTGATGACTCATGATCTCTCCTTGGCTTGTTTTCCAGTTGTTCTGGACAGCAGATACCTTAGTTTTTCTTCTTTCTGTTTTTCGATCTATTGATTTTGTTCTAATATTTCTTACTGCCTCGTGGAGTCCTTCATTTTGGTTTGTTCTCTTCTCATTTTCAAGGAGTTAATTACTTAGGTAAAGCTTACCACTTTCTGTTTAAAGCATTTCCTTTCCAAGTCTTTCCTCTAGAGCTTTTCTTTCATTTTTTTTTAATCACTTGATTCATTTTTGCTATGCATTCATGTAATCTTTGTGGGAAATCCATTTCCCCCCCCCCCCTTTAAATCACTGCTTGCTGTTCTTATGGAGTTATACATTCCTTTGTGGTTCAGTTTTTGAACATTTTTAATGTTCATTATAGTGGTCTGCCTCTTCTGCTTGATTACCTTTCCAGCCTGAGTTCTTTTGTTTGGGCTTAGTGACAAGGCCAGGCTCCATCCACTGTTGTTGCTTTTGATTGAGGTGGTTTCCCCTGTTGGTATCTATCTGGGTCAGTTAGGTTCCTGAATAGACTTCTACCTTCTGGGGGTAGGTTCCTTTCAAAGCACTGGATCTTCAGGGCCCCCTGTGTTATTTCAAGACAAAGTACTAGGGATGTGGGCCTGGAGTGTCCTGTTTTGAGTACTATTGTGCATAGACTAGCCACTGCCACTTTTGGTTTTAACTGTTCCTGGTATCTTCCAAGGTCCCCACTATGGATTCCCAATTATTCTAAAGCTTTCTTGAGAGTCTTCCACTTTCTCTTACCTCTGGATACAAAGCCTTGAAGCTTACTACCATCCCTGGTCATGCTGAGCATGGGCACTTGTATTTCTGATGATTCCTTCTTTCCATTGCCTTTGGGCTTATAGATGACTTTTTTATAGTTCTGGGGTAGAAAAAGTCACTTACTGTAGTTTTCCATTTAATTTATTGATGATGATTTGGTCTGGGGCAATTTGTTTAGGAAATGAGTTCCTTCCCCTTTGATAGTGGTATCTGTAGACTATTTGTACCCCTTGGTCAGAAGGATCTTCCCACAATTCTTCCAGAGCACTATTCCAGCAGTCTCACCTACTCACCAAAACCGCAGCTATCTGAGGAGTTAAAAATCTCCAGAAGTCAAGACATGAGGAAGAAATTTAGAGCAAAAAAATCAAAAGTGACCTATAGAAAGGTAGAATCAATATATCTGCTTCTTCTTATTTAAAAAAAGATGCATTAAAGGATTTATTAAAGAAGTAAAAGAATGTTTTACCAGGAGCTGGTTTGGGAGAAGAAATACCATGCTCTTGCCTCAAACTGCCTGGGTCCAGTTGACTAATATTACTGGTATTTAGGTTATTTATTATTGTGTGATTAAGATTTAATAAAAATCTTCATATACTCCATGACCTCAATTTAATATCATCTGTATTATGTTGGCCATGTTGATATGTTAGTGAGCTGCCAGAGGAAGGTAGCTATGCTGCCATTACCAGCATGGCAGATGAGGAATAGTGCCCTAAGTAAGGAATAATTCTGACTTAAAGGGTTTCTCATGTGGCAATGGCACAAAATGGAATGAGCTGTTAGGTGTGTTGGTACATACAGGGGTAATCACAATCTGAGGGGAGATATATAGATATATAGATGTCTGTGTGTATATATACATATACATATATAATATAACCTCCCCTTAGATTGTAATTACCCGTATATGTTTCTTGCACATGAGCCCCCACTAGTGTGTTTCCTCCCCAGATTATCAGTGGAGAATTATTTAGTTAGTCAGACTTAAGTAGCTTTTAGAAGGGGGGTATTTAGAAGGACCTGAATTTAAGAATAACTCAAAGGACCAAACTGCATCAACTGACAGTATGTTTGCACTTACTAGCGGTAGTAGGATGATATTCATAGTAAAATTACAATATCTTTTTGTACATAGTAGATTTGCAGTCTCATGTGCAATCATCTTTTTTTTTATTATACTATGTTATGGAAATGCTTTATTCCATAAATTAAAAAATAAAATAAATTAAAAAAGGAAATTCATTTGCACAGATAGAAGTTAAATAAAATTATAATAAAATTATAAAAATTATTTTTTAAATTCTTGTGGCAATTGATATGCTTGGTTTTTCTGGTGCTATAGTGATACAGAGGGTATAAAACATCCCTTCAAAAATCCATGACATACTTTCCTACCAGCTCATACAGTGAGAATTGGGTTCAGATTAAGAAAATGCATGTGGCAAAAGGGCAGTTCACTATTTCTGGTTGCTAGAAGTTTTTCTCTCCTTTGTGAAGTATTGATGATGTTCTCCTTAGGCATGGATCCCTTTGCTTGGTTCTTTGCAGAGCTGTGAAATACTGTCCAGTCATCTGTCCATGGGTATCAGTGCAAATGCTGATGCCAGCCAGTCTGTCCCGGTGGGATGATACTATGAACCTATTATAGGGAGCGGGAAATCCAAAATCTTCTGGACTTTTTAAAGCCCTTTGCAAAGTCCTCCTCCAGAAGAGGTGGCAGAGGAAGAGATAAAGCCAAAGCAGAAAAACCTTTCCTCCATCCCTAACTGACTTTCTCAGAAGAGTTAAGTTGAATACTCTCATTGCATTTTTCATTCTCTAAAATCCAAATCTCTGCCAGATGCCTGAATCTTTGGGGTTTTGAACTGGTCTTCCATTTTACAGACACCCACAGGGTATCCTTAGGCAGTCCAAACATTGTGTCAACTTCATTTCCACATTTAATGTAAAGAGTTTGATTGGTTTACTGAGATGTGTTCTCATCTCTGTATGGTATCAAGGCATATTATCACTTACTTTAAGAGGGTAGGATAATTTGATTGTTTTCTGCAATTAACCCCTCTCCCCATATAATTTATCTTAGGTGGCAGGGTAGATGGAACACTGGAATTGAAGTCAGGAAGAACTTAATTCAAAACCTGCCTCAGACACAACTATATAACCCTAGGCAAGAAAGACATAGACCCTTAAATTCTCTAAGACTCAGCTTTCTCCTCCATCAAATGAGGATGATGGACTAAATGATCTCTAAAGCCCTTTTCAGTTTTAAAATGATACTTGGGGGATTTTGTAGGGGTTAGCTAGCCAGTTCAGAAACATAGTTCTCTTAGGTGTTTGTTATACAACCACGAAACAAAATGCCATCTCTCAACGTCCAAAGACTGGATTATTCTGACTTTAAAAGCACACTGCTTGACAATATACCACGTAAAACCATAATCCAACTCCAAGACAATGACCTTTAAAGGTCAATGGAGCATCTATTTATCCAAGTCAGGGTAACAGCTTGGCATCCTTTAGAAATGATTCCCACTATTTGCCATAGAGCACAGATTTAAAAAAAAAACACATAGCCTTGAGGGGAAAGGAGAGAAGAGTAACTGAAGACCTAAAAGGCCAGGAGAAGGATGAACAATATTTAACTTTTTGACAAGGCTTATAAAATTCCTGAGGCTGGTTAGGGTTGTTCATGTTGAAAGAGAACAATGGTATTCTAGATAGTCAAAGGCAAGATAAAAAGATTTTTTAAAAATCTGACTCAGGTAACCAAAGAAACAATAAAATGGCATGTAGCTATCAATTTGCCTTCACTATTATTCTAAATCAAAACTTGATCACCTTCTTCTTGATGTTTTCTTATTGGAACTTAAAATTAAATTTGTATAGAAGACCTGAGTACAAAGCCCTGCTCTGTTACTCACTACCTCCATCATGTTAAGAAAGTCACTCTATCCCTTGGGCTTCAGTGTCCTCATCTATAAAATACAGGCAATGTATTAGGTTAGTCAGACGACAAACATTTGTTAAGCACTGCTATGTGCCAGGAACTATCATGGATGCTGGGAATACAAATAAAGGAACAAAAACAAAAAAAGAAGTCCTTGCCCTCAAGGAGCTCACAGTCTAACAGGGGTTCAGTGTGTTACAACTATGTACAAATAAGCTGTATAATAGGATAAACTGGAGATAATCAACAGAGAGGAAGTACTGGCATTAAAGAAGCAGGAAAGGATTTTTGCAGAAGGTAGGATGTTAGCTGGGATTTAAAGTCAGGGAATTCATGAGTCGGAGATGAAGAGGGAGAGCATTCCAGGCATAGGAGGCATCCACTGAAAATGACTGGAAATGGGAGATCAGGTATATGGTGGAAGGAACAGCAAGGAAGTCAATGGTACTAGATTGAAGAGTACCTGAGGAGAGTAAAGTACAAGAAGACTGGAAAGGTAGGAGAGGGTCAGGTTATGAAGGGCTTCAATTGTCAGAAGATTTTATATTTGATCTTGGAGTTAATAGGGAGCCAATGGAGTTTATTGAATAGGGCGGAGGTGATCTGAGAAGAGATATAAAATGATGGCTGGGATGGATGGATCAAGTGAGGGATTTTTGAAGATGGGGAAGATATGGGTATGTTTAGAGGCAGTAGGAAAAGAGACAGTAAGCAGTGTATAACTGCAGAATAGTGAAGGAGTGGGGACAATGGAGAGAACAATAAGTCAGAGAAGACTGAATAAATTGGGATCACTTGTGCAAGTAAAGGGGTTTTCCTTAGCAAGGAGAAAGGTCACTTCTTCATATGAGATAGGGGGTAGGAAGCGATAGTGGCAGAAGGCAACTGAGTGATAGGAAATGAATAGGAAGGGAGAAGTGAGAGCTCTTGCAGAAAAACCTCACTTTTTTTTCAGTGAAATATGAGGTCAGGTTTTCAGCTGAAAATGGGGTTAGGAGGGGGAGCTATGAAAGGTCTGAGGAAGAATAAAAAGGCTTGGAAAAGCCTTTGTGGTGAATGGGATAGTGAGTCAATTAGGGAATGCAAATAAGAACACTTGTTATAGTGAGAACTCACTTCAGTTTATATAACAAACTTGTAGAGGACCCATTCAGCACAGTTTCATGATTTTCTCCAGCTATGTTCAACCAAAAGTATCTGAATAGGAGCAAATGCAGGGGATGATGAGAGTTAACCAAGGCTAGGGGTCAGCAGGACAAGTTTGGCAATAGGATAAGGGGCAGAGGACTCAAGAGGACAGTATAGTTCATATATTTTAGGGATACAATAGAAATAATAATAGGTTATACATTATATATAGTACTATAAGTTCTGCAAAGCTCTTTATAGGTGTACACATGTGTATATACACATGTATATATATACACACATATGTCTCTGTGTGTGTGTATGTATATATATATATATACATACATACATACATATATACATACTTTCATTTGATATAATAATTCTTTGAGATAGGTCCCATTATTATCCTTATTTTACAGATGAAACTACTGAGACCCAGAGTCACACAGCTAATAAATATGGGGCAGGATTTGAATCCAGGTCTTTTTGATTCCAGGTCCAACACACTATTTATACCATGCTGCCTCCCAAATATAAGTTGAAATACAAGGCACACAAAAGAAACAGTCTCTTCCATCACAGAGCTTACAGTTCTATGGAAGAAACAAGATAAGATATACATAGAGAAGCAGCAGGATAGCAACATAAGACAGTAGTTAGGTGCCCAAACATCTAGGATGGACCCTCAGTACCTTCAGGACTCAGGAAAGACAATTTTCCTCAATAGTCAATCGAAATTTTGGTACCAGTGATTTAGTAAGGAAACTCCCTATTTAGGAAAGTCCCATTATTCTGCAACAGAGACAAATTGCTTTCCCTGCCATATGTTGGCATTTCTGTGTAGAGCGAGTTGGTTGTAGTGCATGGCTTCTCTAGTAACACCCAGTATTTCAAGACTACATTTACTTAGCTTAAGAAGAAATGACAATCTGGCAATGTAATCAATGTTGTCAGCCAGAATGGAGGATTTTGAGCCTAAGGTGGCTGTTTGCTCCATTTCCAAGTCACTTTAGAAAAAGATTCCAGTGCATTACTATGCTTACTTGGGCAAGACTGTCAACATGAGTAAGTGCAGAAATAGCTTAAAGTATCCATGACTCAGTGAAAAGAAAAAGATGTTTGAGAATTCTAGATGGCAAATGAACAAGAAATTGAGGAGACCACAAAGGACAAAAGCCTTGACCATGATGAAGGCATTAATGCAGAAAGGGCCAAGGAGCCAGAGAGATCAAAGATCCTTACGCAAAAGTAAAAAACTGTTAGGAACCTTGAGGCAGGCATCAGGGTGGCCAGTTTCCCAAGAGTTTGCAGGGATGAAGATCATGGCTTCTAAGATTCTTAATCTGGTTTTCAATGTTTTAACTCTAATATTGATTTTTTTTAGACCTGTGCTTTTATTGGTACGGAAGCCTCAGTGAGAAGACTCCCTCTTTCAATACAGGTAGGAAATTGTCCCATAACCTATAGTTTTAGAGAGTTCCCTGGGCTACAGAGAAGTCAGGTAACTTGTCCAGGAACCCACTGTTAGACAGTTCTCTATCCACACTGTGCCTGATTGCCTCAATTATTACAAAAGGTCTTAATGCCAGAGCAGGGAGGAAAGAAAACAAAGGTTGATTGTTTTTGAACCCCCAAACCAATGCTTTTGTAATTAATTTAATTATATTCACAATGCAAAAAAATGGAAAATAGCTACGTAGTGGAGGCTTTCTGAAAAGACTGAAAAACATTTAAATCATCACAAAATACTTAAAATATGCTGGGTTACTACATTCCTAATAACTAATTCAAACATTATGTTTCACCCAGAATGAATCTGTCAATGAAGTAATTCGAATACAATTCTCCCAATGGGCATTCTTCATGGGTCCAATGATCATTTCATAATAACGTAATCATATTTCATCCTAGTATGAAGCCTAATTAATTCAAAATTCAAGGATCAGAAAACAGGTATTGAGAATTTAACCAGATTCAAAATATCCCTTTTTCAAAACAAAAATTAAAGAGCAACAGGTCATCTGACCAACCAAAGAATGAAGCTGCTTTGAATTATATGGAATTTAACTAAATTTCATCATATGTAAATACCTTAGAGACCACTACTTCCTAGCTCATTTAAAAGATGAGGAAGCCAAAGTTCAAAGAGAGACTTATTCAATTAGCACACAAAAAAATTAAAGACAGAGCAGGGATTAGAAAATTGCCTCTTGTTTACATTTGAGTGTACACAGTGAAATGACTTCCCATAGCTAGTGTCCAATAGTAAGAGTCAGCATGGTATACTGGGAAAAGGGCTGGTTTTGGGGTAAAAGGACCTGAGTTCAAATCCCAATTCTTATGATCTTGGGCAGGTAGTTTAACTTATAGCAACCTCAGTTTCCTCATTCATAAAAAGTGAGGGTTGGACTAAATGATCACTAAGGTACCTTCTTTCTCTATAACTATGATCCAATTATCTCTTCAACACATACACACACACACACACACATACACACACACATACACACACACACAAAACTCCCTGCCCTGCCTCCCCCTTCTTACCCACCACACAATCCTTGCCCTGAGAGTTACCCTTGAATTTGCTTCACTCATGCCTAGGCTAAATTCATCCTCTCTTCAAAGAATGTAGAATTTCCGAAGAATCAGTCTCAACACTAAGGTAGCAGTTTTACCATATTTATCTATGGAGAAATCTGAGTTGGAATGACATATTATATAATATATAATATTTTTTTCTCTCTTGGAACCCAAGGATTATACATAGTCCAGATATTTCTAATAATCATAAAATCATAGATTTAGAGCTAGGAAGGACTTCATCGGCCATCTAATCCAACCCTACCATTTTACAGATTTGGAAACTGATATTTCAAGAGGTTGTATGACTTAACAAGGGTCCCTTGTCAATCTAGCAAATATCACAGGTATGATTTGAACTCAGCCTATTATTCTATCCATTATACCATGCTGCGTCTCTTGAGGTCAGTTTAGCCAAAGCAAGTCAATGAAAAAGGCTAATAGGGAAGGGCAGACAAAGGTAAGCCAAAATGGCTTGAGAAAGATTGTAGAATCATAAAAACCCTCGAGCTTGAACTGGCAGTAGAAATGATATAGTCTAGCTCCCTTTTATTACAGATGAGGAAACCAAGGCTCAGAATGATGAAGCAAATAAAATCAGAGGCACTTTGGGGAAGGAGAAGGAAGTGTCCACAAGAGGGCAGAAGTCACTTGCATATTTTCCACATTAGCAGGATCTTTTTAGTGATATTTCAAATAGCAGACCCTTCTCCGAACCTGGTCTTTGAGCCCTCATTACATTCTAGTGAAAACAAGTAAATATCCTAGTTATTATCCTTAGTAAATCAGAGCATGTAGGGGGAAAATATTAGTTAACCGCTGAGTTTTATCCCCACTCTGTCTCAGTCCCATTTTTTTTTTTTACCAAATCCTTCCTTCTGTTTGAACATCTTCTTCACAGTGTGGCAGGCAGAGCCATCTCCCAGGCACACACCACAACGATCTTCAGTGGCATTGGAATCGATTTCATAGTCACAGCCAACCATCTGAGGGAAAAGAGAGTTTCTAATTTAAGTGAGTTACCCATCAGGAACTGTACCGAGCCTTTGACTCTGCAGTCTCCTTTCTACTTTCTACTTTCACTGCTATATAACATCAGGGGCTATACAAAGTGCCTTACAGTGGTAGCAAAAGAAACAGATGGCTCTTACACTAATATTAAAGGGAATGTCATTCAGTCAGTTAGTCAACAAATACCAGCACACATGGGACCCTTTCCTAACCATCAGGGATCTCCCAAGGCATGACTGGAAACCCCTAGCAAAGAACCAATAGCTAAAATGCAAGTATCCATGTAACTGTAGCCCAGATTCCTGGATGTGCATGCCCTGGCGCCTTCTGGAGTGATCCAAATCATGGTCCTTCTTTTCCTGTAAGACACAGCTCTAGGACCATCTTCTGCAAGGAGCCTTGCCTGTTCCCTCAACTGCTAGTGCCCTCCCTCCCAAACCACCCTACATTTAACTACTTTGTATATATTTATATTTTTCACTTTGTATTTATGCTTTTTGTTGTTGTTATTATTGTTCAGTCATTTCAGTTGTGTCTAACTCTTTGTGACCCTTTTTTTGGGGGAAGGGGGTTTCTTGGCAGAGATACTGGAGTGGTTTGCCAATTCCTTGTCCAGCTCATTTTATAGATGAAGAAACTGAGGTAAACAGGTTTAAATGACTTGCCTAGGGTCATATAGCTAGTAAGTGTCTTGTATGTAGTATGGCCCTGTAGGGCAATAGGCATTCATTCTCAAAGAGACCTCAGGAATCATCTAGCCCACCCTCCTCATTTTGAAGATGAGGAAACTGTATCTCACAGAGGTAGAGTGACTTGCCCAAGGTAACACAGTTAATAAGTAGCAGGGCTAAATCTGAACCTAACCACACAGATTACAAATCTTTCTACTACACAGTGTTACCTTAGGTTGCCCAGGCAGCTTTCTCAGACCTCCTGCCTCCTGTAACCTATCATATAATCACAGAACCAAATAACAATATTGTAGAACATATCCCCATACTATTACAAATAATGTGCATTATGAGTTTTCTCCGTTTGTTGCAATCATCAAACGTTAATTGAATGCTAACTATGTGCCAGGCATCGTGTCAGAAGCTGGGGATACGAAGACAAAGCAGTCCTACCCTCAAGTAGTTTCAAATGCCCCCTTTCTAGAGGCGACCCTCAGGAGGGGTCTCGCTTTGCTCCCATCCCCCCAAATCTGACCTTCTATCAAATATGAACATGGCCTATAAGCAGATCTTTAGTGGTCAAGGTAGTGAAACCAGCCCTGTAGGAGAAAAGTAAGAAGAAGGGAACCAGGGCAAATATTACGAAAAGTATAGTGATGGTAAAAATCAATGATATTTCTTTATGTGAGTTTAAAGTGTGCGTATATATATTGTATGCATATATGTGTATGTATACATATATACACACATACAAACATACATACGCATATATGTATGTTATAAATCATATATGTTAGCTCTCACAGTAGAAACATTTTAAAATGGCAGTTTTGTGCATCAGTTATTCAGTGTACAACTATGTATATTGCTTTTCTCCAACAGATCTCACCCTACCTGTATTTCTGACAGCAGTCATATTTTGATGATTATGATGTCTTAAAAATAAATACACTGTTGCTACTTTCTTAGGATGTTATAATGGCAACGTCATTTTAATCCTGATGTCATGCCCATACCATTTCCTCGTGAGGGTTATACAATGATATTCTTTTTCAGCTACAAAAGATGCTAAGGGTCTGAATGCTTTGATATAAGAGGAAATGCAGCTGCAAATGACTCCCCAGATCTATCTAAGGATGTTGGGAAGTCACTTCAGGGTTGGCATTAGTAGGTTTTAAGTTTGAATGTTGGCTCTGGGTGCCAAGCATGACTATAGGGATGGAGTGCTGGCTAGAAGCAGAATGACATGATGAATACAGCCTAAACTTGGACTTAGGAAGACCTAGGTTCAAATTCTGCCTCTGATGTTTTCTAGCTATCTAATAACTGGTAAGTCACTTCATGTCTTTGGGCCTCAGTTTCCTTATTTGCAAAATGGTGGCAACAAAGATAATAGGCACCCGACTGACATGGACATTGTAGGGATCAAATGAGATAGTTTGTTTAGGGCCTTATAGAAATAGGAGCTGTTATCATTCCCATGGGCTTTGTTTGGTGGGGATACTTTTTCCCAAAACTTTTTGCTATCTTTTGGTTTTAGAGACCTTCTTTCTTCTCTACAGACAAAGAATTTTATGACAAAGAATAGAAAAAAGAAAGAGAAAAATAATTCAGCAAAACCAAGCAATATGTCAACTGAGTATGAGAGTATAAGTAGTGTTCTGAATCTATAGTCCCCCACTTCCTCAAAGAAGAGAAGGAGATGTCTTTTCTTCTTTCTTCCTGAGTGCTACACCTGATCGTTACAGCCCTCCCTCACTTAAATCCAATTCACTTGGATGTCATGGCATCATTTCCCTGATGGCATGGTCTTCTTCGAGAAAGAAGGACAAACAGAAGCAACCTGATCATTACAGTTACACAACATTCAGTTTCATGTTTTATTGTTACTGTTGATATTGTTTCCATCTACATTGCTATAGTAATTATGTTTATTGTTTTCTTGGTCTTCCTTACCTCATCTTGCTTCGGTTCATATATGTCTTCTGAATGGAGCATTTTCAGAGCTCTTCCTTCTTTGTTTTGGAGAAAGAGTTGGGGTGAGTGGTAGAGTGGTTTTAGAATGACTGTTGCCAGGTGTGACTATAGTTGTGGAATTATTTTTCCTGGCTATGTAACCACTGCTGTCCATTTTAAAGACCACCTTCCTCTTTTCTCTTTCTTTCTTTCTTTCTTTCTTTCTTTCTTTCTTTCTTTCTTTCTTTCTTTCTTTCTTTCTTTCTTTCTTTCTTTCTTTCTTTCTTTCTTTCTTTCTTCTCTCTCTTTTTCTCTTCTTTCTCTTCTCTCTCTTTCTCTCTCTTTCTCTCTTCTCTTCTCTCTCTCTCTCTCTCTCTTCTCTCTCTCTCTCCTCTCTCTCTCTCTCCTCCCTCCCTCCTCCTCCCTCCCTCCCTCCCTCCCTCCCTTCCTTCCTTCCTCCTCCCTCCTCCTCCTCCTCCTCCTCCTCCCTCCTCCCTCCTTCCTTCCTTCCTTCCTTCCTTCCTTCCTTCCTTCCTCCCTCCCTTCCTTCCTTTTCTTCCTTCCTTCCTTTGTTCCAAGGAAGACTGCTCTACAATGGTGACACAGGTATAGGACCATCACCTCTGTACCACCTGATGGGAACCACTAATGGCCAAGCTTCTAAATGGAGCACTGCCAGTCACCCATCCACTACAGACCAATGGAGTTCAGAAGCACTCAACGTTAGGCTCATCACATGATTGACTTTCATCCATACCCTCTGGGAAGAATTTTACAGTGAGGCAGTCCCAGAAATAGGTAAGAGGCATAAATATATAAGGAAATAAAGGATGGTGGAAGGGGGAAACTTATAGCTAGGATTGGAGAAGCATCATCTCTAAATGGGGCAATGGCCCTGACATCCTAGTTCGATATATCCCTGAAACACTGCAACTGCATGGTTAGAAGAGATATTTGTAATCACCAAAGGAAGAGATACTTAATCCTGTTCATCAAGAATGGAAGAAAAGAAATTGTCCAGATGTGGCCATTCAATGGATGTGAGTGAATAAAACGTCAAACATTTAAAAGTGATGTGATCATGCCAAGACTGGGCACCATAATAAGCTGACCTTTAAAAATCACGTTCCCACTGTCCTTCATTCATTCCCAAATTTAGAATAAGTCAGAAAAACTCAGCACAACGAGAAGCTGATTCATTTTAAAGTATTCTTTTTCATACTGTGCCCAGAGCCAGGGCAGATAAAATGTTTTAAGAACAAAGAAAAGTTAAAACAAGAAAAATAACCACCCTGTAGTAGGAAGGTCACTGGGGTTATCATCAGAAGGCTTGGGTTTAACACCTGGCTCTGCCACTACCTGGCTGAATTACATGGAGTAAATCACTTTCCCTAACCTGACCTCAGTTCTCTTATCTGGAAAATGATCTCTGATGTTCCTTCTCTCCATGACCTTCTAGGATTTATAGGGGACCCTTTGAGTGGGTGATCACATTTCTATAGATGAAAATTAAGTAGAGGTTGTGTCAAATTGATACCAAGGAAGAAAATACAATATTATTTTAACTCATATCTCATTCAATTTTCCCTCCTTTCCACTGTGCCCTCTATGAAAATAAGTTAATTAGGGGTTACACTTTTTTTTAATACTGCTAAAATGTGTTAGACTTGAAGGTGAAAGGGGATCTGGAATCATGAGGCCTGAATTTTATTCTTGACTCTAATGCTCCTGATGCAGAGGATTGACTGCTGGATTTTGAGTTAAAGAGTTTGGGACCCCAGTTAGTCACTTACTATCTGTGGGAATATGGGCAAGTCACTTCTGCTTTATGAACCTCAGTTTATTCATCTAGAAAATGAGGGGACTGAACTAGTAACTTCAAAGTCCCTTCTGGCTTTAAATCTATGACTATGACTTTAATTCACTACCTGTGTGACAACAGGCAAATAGCTTAGCCCTCTGAGATCCAGTTTCCTCATCTAGGACAATAGAATTTGGAGTTAAGAAGAGGCTTCAGAGATCACCTGTTACTCATCTTTAACAGAGAAGGAAACTGAGGCCCAAGAGGTTTAGTGACTTGCCCAAGGTAATATGCCTAGATGGAATTTGAACCCTGGTCCTCTGACTCCAAGTTCAATGCCCTTTTCAATATATCACACTACCTTCTTATAAAATGAAAGTAATATTTTTTCGCTGTAAATATTCCATAAGATTGTTGTAAACAGAACAACTTGGAAACCTCAAAACACCTTCTGTATGTGATCTGTTATGCTCTCACTTAGAATACACCAAGAATACATAGGTGGGAGAAAAAAGGGGGGGGGAACTACATGTTATCATTAAGTTGT